CCCTAACCTAATGTCATCTGCAAATTTGCTGAGGGTGCAACCCAACCCCTCATCCAGGTCATTAATAAAGATGTTGAACAAAACCAGCCCTAGAACTGATCCTTGGGGCACTTTGCTTGAAACCGACTGCCAACTTGACATCGAGCCATTGATCACTACCCGTCGGGCCTGACAATCTAGCCAGCTTTTTATCCATCTTACATTCTAGGCCTCATCTAGAATCTGATGTGCAGTTCTGGTCACCCATGTCCAAGCATGGTGGATTCAGCCTGGAACAGGTGTGGGGACAGACTGTGAGGGTGATTAGGGAAAGGAAGGGCCTGTCTTCTGAGACGAGACAAAAGAGCTCATTCAGCCTAGCAAAAAGCAGCCTGCGAGGGGGATCTCATTGCTTCCTGCAAATACTTTTGGGGGGTAAACACCAAGGACATAGAAGACCTACTGAAGTTAAGGGCAGCGTTGGCACAAGAACAAAAGGACACACTGGCTGTGAGCACACTGGGGCTGTAAATGAGAAGATTCCTGACCACCAGAGCAGTAAGAATTTTGAGCAGCCTCCCCATGCGAAGAGTGGGACAAACAACTTCATTAGTTTTAACAGAGAGCTTGATAATTTTATGAATGGTTTGCACAACAGTAGAACCTACAATGGAGGGGAGGGCGATGGACTGATCAACCCAGATCTTCCTTCCAGCCCTACATCCTATTTTCCTTTCTGGCTGGCAGAGAGTCGTAGGGGAACTAGTAGTCACGCGCCAGTTTTATTCAGATCTGCAGCTTTGGAGTTTTGCTCTAAAAAATCCATCCATTCTAAATGCTCAAGATCCGACTGAGCTGTTCATAAACCAACCAAATCCAACCCAGGATCCTCTAGAACAGGGCTGTACCACACTCTGCAGGGAAGGGTAATTCCCAGAAATGTTCAGCTGCTTGAAAAAAAAAGGAAAAAAACAGAATGTGCACCTGCTGTTAAAATGGGCTTAGAATGAAAACTCTTTTCTCACCTGAATGGAGGCGGATGTGAACTCTCCCTCCATGGAGCCACCTGCGGGAGAGCTACATCAGTGAAGTCAGCCAGGATTTGGCAGTTTGTGCAGCTGGCCACTCCTACTGGTCTTGGCGAGCATCAGGTGATGCTGGTTCTGTTCCTGATTGGCTGACCTCGCCTCCTTTTCCGTCCAAGTGATAGCCGTGATTTGTTGGCACTTCATGTGCTGGGAGCTCCGGGGAGGCTCTACTGGGGACCCAGAAAATGGCCACGGGACTCATGGAAGATTCGTGGGACTGAAACCTGGCCCTGCAGAATGTTCACCAGCAGGGAAACAACGGGATCCCACGCAGCAAACGCGTCTTAGCCCCAAATGCTTTTCTGCAATGTTTGACCCAATCGTGTCTACACTCCCCTGGAGACTTTTCGTTTCTCCCACAACAATTGATCCATCAGTTCTGGGCTAGCAAGGGGCACCGTAGGAGTATAATCAAGCCCTGTTCAACTCATTGCACCGATGACCTATCTTTGCCCCTTCCCATCACCCTCCTCCTCTCCCTCTGGCTCTCTGTGGATGAAAGGGCGTAGTTTGGTTCAGTGTCCTGCAGTCAGCCCAAATTAGCACAGTTCTAAATCAGCCAGCCAGCCAGAACAAATTGCTTTGCTGGGGCTTATGTTCCTTACACTGCTCTGCTGACTAGTGTCTGCAGCAGCTCTGGAATAAATAAAAGAGCCATTTCAAACAGGGGTCTCTGGAGGGAGCTCCGGGCCACAGCACAAACATGCCACTACCATTTCCATTTCTAGAACCCTGCAAATCTGTGGATATTCGCTTTATATCCATGAGTATCAGCAGCCACAGATATGGATGCACATAGCCACTGCTCATGTTTGTGCATAGCGATGCAGGCACAAATTTTATATGCAGAGCCCTGTGGATATCCACACCTGAGAATGTCAATGCAGATATCCGTGGCTCATTTTTGCAGATACAAATTGCGTATCCAGCATGCAGTGCGGTTTGGTTATACATGGGGCTCAACATGCAGCCTGTGAGTGGGAGCCTTTGAACATGGCCTCCACTGGGAACACGCTCCACAACAACAAGGCGTCTACCAGGTGGGGTGAGCATTGAGAGACACAAGCAGAACGGGATGGTTGGAACAGATGGGTACAAGGTGTTGACATTTCTAGCCCTCAGGGAGGTGCCTGGAGCGCCGGGGCATTGTGTGAAAGAAGCAATTTGCATATTTTTGCATTTATATTTGCATGTATATGCAACCCCACTTAAGATGTGGCCCTTGGCATGTGCTGTGAGTATCATTGTGGCCCCCAGGGCTTCCAAAATTGAGTAGCTCTGCCCTAGGCGACCCCCACCAGATTGATTCTTGACTCATAAATTCCATCTGAGGTGGGAGAGTGCCTACCTTTTTGGTGCCAGGAGTCCCCAGTTCCTGTGCAGAGATGCACCCTCCCCTTCCCTCCCCCTCATCCGAGCATCCAAATCTGCCCGATACAGGGATGCTGATCACCCATCCCGGTAACTTTCCCCTGATTGGGTCACTGCTGCATATCTGGCTTGCTCTGGTCTTGGGCTAAGTATTTCCAGCAACAAGGCACGCACATGTGACTAGGTGGAGCAGGGGCCAGGACAGCCCTTGCACCACCAAGGTGAGCTGGAGAGAGCAGGCCTAAGCCGTAGGGAGCACAGGCTGGCTGGAAACAGACTGGTGGAGCCAGAAGTCAGTACTGACCACTGGGCAACTCTGGATCATGATCAGGGTCGGGTGTGCGCACTGTGGCTTCTTGGCTGCTCCCAGCACCTTTAGGGAGTACGTTACGCTTGCCTGGCTGCTCCAGCTTGTGCACACACAGAGCTTTAGTAAGGAGCATAATAGCACTAATAAAATGGCCATAAAGTGCAAGTCAGAAACGCCTGCACCCCGGAGATTTATGCCCAAATGGGCTCCCTGAACAGCATGGCTCTGGGCCTCTCCTGCACAAAGCAGGCAGTGGGCCAGCATGCTGGAGGAGTGGCCAGAGCTTTCTGGGTGTGGTGTGGGACCACCCTACCGGAGCTGGGGGGAGCTTACTGGCCGTTGGCTCCCGTGAGCATAGGGCCTAGCATTCAGGGGAGGAGGCAGATTCACACAGGCACCAAGGCCTGCGCACAGAGCCACAGACACACACGCACAGTGACACACACAGACACAGACTCAATCACATGCATGAAGACATGCACACTCGCACAAGCATGCCTTTACAAACACACACAGAGACGCACATGCAGGGGCGGCAGGTTTGTATAATTTTTGGTGGTGCCCCATTAGCCACGCCCCCGACCCCCATTAGCAATGCCCCTTCCTCTCACACCCCTTCCCCTATTTCCCGCTGATGGTGGACTTCCCCCTGCCAAACTGGTTGCCCACCAACTGGTAACTGTCTGGAATGACAAGCTTCCAGATAGTGACTGCGACCCTCTTCTCCAGGGGGATGGTGGGCCGCAGGTGGATGTCGTGTCTCCGGAGGGCAGGGGCAAGTCAAAGGACTTTTTCCACCTTCCTCTTACCAACAGGAGCGAGCCAGGCACCCAGCTCCAAAAAGGTGGCCTTTCACATGCGGAAGTTTTGGAGCCTCTGCTGGTCGTCCCACCACTCCATGACCAGCCAGTCCCACCAGCAGAGGCATAGCGAGGGAAGTTTTTTCGGGAAAAGGCTACTTTTCGACTGCGGGGGCAAAGGAAAAATTTGTGCCCCCAGCCACTGATGCGTGACGGGGCCCCAAACCTGGTGCATGGATGAGCCCGACCCTGGGAGGAGCGGGGGAACTTGTACTGCATCTTCCCCCACCCCTCCAGTTTGGGGGCAGGCCCCACATGCACTAACCCTCTAGGTTGGGCTGTGAGTGGTGAAGCAGGGAGGAGGCCCCAGCCCGAGGTAGCGGGCGGAGGAGGAGCAGGTAAGCCAAGGAATGACAGGGGGAGCAGAAAGGGACTAAATTGGTGCCCCCCTCTAGCGTGGCACCCAGGGGCAACTGCCCCCCCCTCATTACGCCACTGCCCACCAGTCGAAACTGGTGTCCGGCCTCCAAAAATGCCTCTCTACTGTGGGGTGTGGTTGCCAGAGTATAGCTCCTGCACCCAGGGAGAGGTCCCCAGAATGAGCTCGGGGTTGAACTTGGTCAGGACCAGGAAGGCAGCTGGCACAAAGTGCTGCAGAAACTGCAGCATGGCCGTGTGGGGCCATAGCATGCCATGGGGCAGCTCCGGCTCCATGACACCAAGAGAAAACCTGTGGCGTCCAAAAAAGCAGGGCAACCACAGCAGGCACTGGGAGAGCTTTGCTGTCCCTTGAAGAGGCAGGCAAGCACGCAGCTAAAGCAGAGAAACGGCTGGCCGGGGGGTCTCTTTAAGCATGTGTCTCGGCAAGGCTCCGGCACCAGCACTCGGAAGCAACTGGTGACCAAAAGCCCTGGCCTTCCATGTGAGAGAGCATCCAATCAGTCTGGACACTCTCTTTCGAAAAAGCAGATCGCTTTTTCAATGCGCTTTTGTGTGTGGACGCTCTCTGTCGGAAGAAGGTTTTTCGGAAGATCTCTTCTGAAAAAAACTTCTTTCAAAAGAAGCCTGCAGTCTTGATGTGGCCTATAAGAAGGTCACATGCGAGACTGTATCAAATGCTTTACTAAAGTCTAGGTATTAAACAGCGACCACGTGCACTTTATCCAAAAGGGTTGTTATTCTATCACTGAATGCTATCAAGTTGTTTTGACACGATTTGTGCTTGATAAATCCATGCTGACTATTACCGATCACCTTATTATCTTGCAGATTTTTGCAAATGGATTCCTTAATTATTTGCTCCATTATCTTTCCTGGCACAGAAGTTAAGCTGACTGGTGTGTAGTTTCCTGGGCTCCTATATATTGCCCTGGTAACTGGAAGACATTTCCAAGCAATTTTTAATTTGTTATTTTCCTATTTTAACTTTTGAACTTACTTCCTTTTTTCCAGCATTCGCTGTGTTTGGCATCCAATGGCCACCAAGCTCGGTGAAAACCAAAACAAAGAAGTCATTAAGCACCTCTGCCACTTCCACATTGCTCAGTGAAGAGGGAAAAACAATTACAGACAATGAGACTACCCTGTCCTTGCTCTTCCTCTTGCTTCTAATCCATTTGCAGAATGGTTTCTTGTTACTCTTTACGTCTCTAGCTAGACTGAGCTCGTTTTGTGTCTTTGCTTTGCTGATTTTGCCCCTGCTTACTTGTGTGATTTGCTTATATTCATCCTTTGTCCTTTGACCTAGTTTCCACTTTTGGTAGGACTCCTTTTGATTTTTACCGCATTCGAGGCTCTGATTCGTGTTGCAGTCCGGGGTCAGACACAATCCTGTTGATTTTTCAAAGTATGTACAAAGTCCTCTTTGGCTGAAGGCTGGAGGAGTCAAACAGCAGGAGATGGTTCTTTGCCTCTTTCCAGCCTGCATTTTGCCCTAACACTTGCTCTCCGCTGTTCCTCAGAGCCATGCTAAAAGTCCTTCTCTGGCTCACTGTGGGCACGTGTCTCCCACACAGACACCCAGAAGCAATCCAATCGATCCTACATTTCTGTTATCAGATTCCCTCGGCTCCAGTTTCCCTCATTATTTAGCCCAGGCATGTGAAAGGTTATCTGGTTAACTGACAAATATCACCCTTAATGAGTGATGCTTACCAGTTCTGGTTAACCCGTGGGGGCTAGAGCAGCTCCCTGCCCGCCATGGGTAGGGGGCTGCTCCAGTCCCATGGGACCAGCCATGGACAGGGGTGTTCCAGCCCTGCTGGAGCAGCCCTTGTTCATGGCAGGGCCAGGCAGGGCTGCTCCTGAAGCAGGGGAGCCACTCCAGCCCAGCTGTGATGGGCAGGGGTAGCTGCTGCCTCCCTGCCGGCTTCCCCTTTAATCAATTACCTGGATAAATATTACGTTTAACTGGTTAACCAATTAAATGGGTTTTTACATCCCTAATTTAGCCTCAGAGGAACAGGCAGTTTCAGCAGAAGAGTCTGAGGTAGCTGCTGCCTCCCTGCCGGCTTCCCCTTTAATCAATTACCTGGATAAATATTACGTTTAACTGGTTAACCAATTAAATGGCTTTTTACATCCCTAATTTAGCCTCAGGGGAACAGGCAGTTTCAGCAGAAGAGTCTGAGGGGGCCCCTTACCAGACTAGCTCAGGGTATGTCTACACTGCCACCCTAGTTCAAACTCGGGTGGCTAATGGAGTCATTGGAACTTGAAAATGAAGCCCGGGATTAAAATATCCCAGGCTTTATTTGCATGTTCCCGGGTGCTGCCATTTTTAAATGCCCGGTAGTTCAAACTCCCTGCCTGTGGCTACACGCGGCACGGGTTAGGTAGCTAGAATTAAAGCTCTTAATTCGAACTATCGTTACTCCTCATTACAGGATGAGTAATGGTAGTCCGAATTAGGGGCTTTAGTTTGAACTACCTAGCCCGTGCCACATGTAGCCGCGGGCAGGGAGTCCGAACTACCTGGCATTTAAAAATGGCGGCGCCCAGGAACATGCAAATAAAGTCCAGGATATTTTAATCCCGGGCTTCATTTGCAAGCCCATCCCAGCAGTGAAGAAGCCGGTGTTGACGGCCTGCACCGATACAGCCCGGGGGCTGAAATGGGGGAAGAGGAGTGTCGAAGCAAACGCCTTACTTAGTTTATGCGGCTAAACAGACAGTTTTATTGGCCAATAAAAGCAAAGTGAGCCAAACGTGGTCTTAGCAAAGCCGGGCCCAGTAAGGCTGCCTAATACAATTAATCCTAGTATTTTTATACCCTTAACCAAACAGTCTGACGTTAGGGCATCCAATTACAGAAATAATTAATTAAACTAGGAAAAACAAAGCCTTATTAACAAGATGGCGGACAGGTACGAGGGAGTACCTCTCCTTTTTGAACCAGCCCAATTAACACATTTTAATAGCACATTTGTCTTGGCCTGGCACATGGGGTGATAGAAAGTTCACTTTGGCCTACGTGCAAAGACAAAAAGCTGAAATGGTTTCTGTTATACAAGATGGCTTTTAGCTAAACATAAAATAGCTTCTACAGGAGGGACGTTTTGTGAAGTGGCCCTGGTGTAGGCAGGGCTGTAGATGAGACTCCAGCTCCTGATTCCTGCCAGCCTGGGCCTCGCTTCTACCCTGGGCTGTGACTTAGGAGCTGTCAGGCAGCCCCATTGTGCTGGGACCACTCACAAAGAAAGGGAGGGAGGCAGGTTTTGCCCTTCCCCACTGATTAGCATAACAAGCCTGCTGCACAGAGCAGGCCCCGGGGCGCAGGGCCAGGGCAGGGTGACTTACCCTTCTCTGCACCAGGAAAGGGTTAGCCTGGGTAAAAACAGACCAGGAAAGTGGTCCCCCTCTGAGAGGCTTGACCTGCCATAAGCTTGGTAGCTGGCTGCGTAGAGCTGGCCGTGCGGAGGAGACGGAGGAAGCTGTGGGCAGGGTCTAAAGTGCTGTGGTCCCACTCGGCTATTTTTGGCATACGGCAAAGGAGCCGCTGCTTCGCCATGGGGCTTGACAGCACGGCGAAGGGGAGGCCGTTACAGTGCCAGGCTGCCTCACACAGTCCGCTGTGTAGGGCTGCCAAGGCTCACACAGCTGCTGCTGAAGTGCTAATAACCCTGGGTCTCAGAGACTCCCAGAGATGAGATGTGGGTAGCACCTTCCATGCCGTACACAGCCCTCTGCCCCAGGCTCTGCTGGTTTGGTCCCCACCGGCCATGCTGGGATGCCGGGAGAACCTAGAATTCCCAATGCCCCTCACTCCAGAGCTGCCAGGATGTCTCGGCTCAGGGGCTGCAGTGTGAGTTTTGCTTCCAGGTACAAAGGCTGAATGGGGCAGAGCCGGGGAGCCAGATTGGCACTTCACCCCTCATGTACTGGGTAGGGAGGCTGCGCCACCCCACACCCTCCCACGGAGGCTCAGGAGTTCCCCTCCATGCAGATGCTACAGCCCAGAGGTCCCCTGTCCATGAGCCGGTGTGGGGGAGGAGCAGGCCTGGCCCTTCCTCTTCCTTGCTCCTTCTCAGGTGCTCCCAAAGGTGCAGAAAGAGCAATCCCATCTCTCTGCCCAGCACACTGAGCACAGAGGAGGCCAAAGGCTCTTGCATCAATCCCCTTTGCACAGCCAGGGGCTTCCCTGGCCCCTTCTTCCTCTTCGCACCGGCTCTGCATACGGCTCAGGTCCCTGACGGCCCGGGGCAGCTCGCTCACGGTTTACATTAACGAAGCGTTGGCATTTCCAGGCTTTGTTTGTGTACTTGCCCATTTTAACAAATAGTTCTGGAGATAATTACAGACTGGGCTATTTATAGCCACCTGGCCCTCCCTCAGTGGGGATGTTTCCTGCTATCTCTGTGCCTGGTGGCTGGCTATTAATAGTGATATTGGGTGAGGAGTCCAAGGCTGGAAGTTACAGGAAAAGCCAATGACTACAGGAAAAGGGAAGTAAGAAATGTTCCCCATTATCCTAGGGGTTCCCCTGCCTTCCCAGGAGCAGCAGCAGCCCCCTGGCAGTGGGGCACTGGGAGTGTCTCTCAATCCTCAGGATCCCTGTGTGTTCCGAGGGCTCCCAAATGCGACACTGTGCGAAGGTCGCAGCCCACAGGTGACTGCAGGAAGAAGCAGTCCCAATGCCAGGAGTTGTACACCATAAGGACCTTTCTGCCTGCACTGGGTATTGTAACTAGCACCCACATTCCCCTGAGGAGACCCACCTAAATTCTAGAGAATCACCTGACATCCCTGGGTCACAACCAGTGGCTGCAGGCAATGCAGAAATGGTGCTCGCAGATTTGGGGTAATCTGGCTATTATTGATCACAGCAGCCATTGAGTCAAATCCTAAGCACAGAGCCCATTCCCAGGACTCCCCATGATCCCCATCCCAATGGGCTGGTGAAAAACAGAGCCATGGAAGGAGGTGGTGGTGTATGTTCTCTGCCAAAAACAAAGAATTAGCTGACTGGCCTGGGGATGGCCTGCTGCTTGTATGGGAAAGAGGTGGGGACGTAGGTAACACATCAGCTATTGCGTTGCAAACGTCTTGGAAATGAAATTTGTCAGCTGAGGCTTCAAACCTGACTTATCACCATTGAGAACCATCGGCAGCTATGGAGCTAGCCTGGCCCACGTTACTGTCTGGGCCAGTGCAAGCGTAACGCCAACAGATGGAACCAAACCTAGGACCTCTGGAGCTAAGAGCATGCGCCTCTGCTGCATGAGCTAAAAAGCCAGCTGGCTCTCAGCGATGGCTGTAGAGCAAACTCATCCTCTCTCTCTGTAAGCGCCTTCCCATGGGACAGTGAATCACACCCAGCAGGGGAGCGTTTTACACAAGCGTGAGGGTTTACAAAGATGGCCGAACCCAAAGAAAAGTCTCCGAGTAGGACACCTCGTAGGCGAAGGGGAAATGGCCTGCAACTGTAAGAGAAGAAGAAAGGCCACAAGGTAACTTCCATTACGGAGGATGCCTGTGGGGGCATCTCATGAAAAGACCAGGACTGGAGAAGTGCTGTAAAGACTGACCCCATGGGTGAGAAATAGTTGCTTAGATGCCTCTTCTTGCCCCTTCTGCCGGGGTGGGGAATTGTGCAGGTCCCACGCCACCAGCGAGTTCAGTGCTGATGCCACATTCATGCCCCAAATCTGAACTGCTGTGTGAGCAGAGACTGGGGGTGGGGAGGAGGAGAGCGAACACCTCCCATGCACCTAGCTGAGAAATGCTGCCCTCCGAGGCCACTGTGCTCCCAGGGGGATAGGCTGGCAGGCTGGGTGCTCAGGACTGTCCCAGATCCTATAGGCATGAAAGCCCCATTCCAGGAGCCCTAGCTCCTATGGGGAGCTGAGGCCAACCTGAGGTTAAGCCTCCTCCAGTGCCCATGGACACAGATCTGTCAAGGGAACCCTTCCCCCAGCCACCTGAGCCCCCAGCTCTCTCCCCAGGGGCATCTGAGCCCATCCAGCTCTCCCCCAGCCACTTGAGCTGGGGAGGGAGAAATTGCTGGGAAGGGCAGCAGTGGCATAAGGAGGAGCATGGGGGGGGGCAGTTACCCCAGGCGCCATGCTGGGGTGCACCAATTTAGTCCCCTCCACTCCCCCTATCATCCCTCTGCCCGCCTGCTCCTCCTCCGCCCGCCGCTTCCAGCTGGAGCCTCCTCCCCACCTCTCCGCTCCCAGCCTGACCCTTCTACATCACCGCTGGCGGGTTAGTGCGTGCGGGGGCCCAGCCCCAAACTGGAGTGGGTGGGGGAATCCATGGTACAAGCTCGCGCTCCAGGTTCGGGGCCCAGCCGCACAGCAGTGGCAGGAGGGCACAAATTTTGCCTTTGCCCCCAGGTGCATAACACCCTCACTACACCTCTGAAGGGCAGTTCAGAGGCAGAACCAGCAGGAGCTGAGGCCAGTGGTTGCAGGTGAGCTCTGCAGATGTCAGGCACGTGACCAGTTGGCTCTTTGCTCCAACCCCTCTGCACCCACTTCCCCCACCATTCTCACTTCCCTCTTCTTCCTTTCTTGTTAGTGAATCCCCCCCTCCCAGCGAACCACCCCAACACCCAC